CTAGAAAACCATGCCCCTTCGTGGAGAAAAATCTGGCTGGCCTCGATTCAAGCAAATAAATTCGATTGGCGCATTGCGCACTGAGTATAAGGCATGGGGTTCATTAATATCTTTTACGAGCAAGCTGTTGGCAGAATCGAGCTTAATGGATAAGTAGCCGAAAGATGTTAGCTTCAACTCACTTTTTTATGTTTTCCCTCAACGTATTTTGTCATGACATTGTTATTACTGTTAATAGCCCGGTTGATTTACCCAGTAAAACGTTTCTCATACATACAGCACCTGCCTCATCACATCCACAATAATTTGAATAATATTATACTGAACACATTGTCTTTTCTTTTTACTGATGGAGGTGGCCACAATGAGGTTACGATGTGAGTTCACACTGCCTGTCGAATTTTTGTATTTGTGAGGCATGGTGGTGAAATCAAGCGCTCGTCAAAATAATACAATCAAAGAAATTGGATTTTTTTTTTGGCAGATGGGCAATTTGTTTTTACATTTTTCCTCGAAACCTTTTATGTTCTTTGAAAACACATTTGCGTGTGAATTTTACTGGAAAACGTTGATTAAAGTCACAAGATATGTAGGTTTTCAGTTTCCTAGGACTTTCAGGCAATGGAAGTTACCAAACGTTGGCTGCCATTTTGTCGGAAATTTTACCTCTGAAACAAGGAGACCCTGACCTCCTTCAATCGCAAATATTTCGACTTCTATTCAACATGGATGGGTGTTTTTCATTGAAAAAAAGGCAAATGAATTTAAAGCTTTTAGATGATAACAATAACTCCACTTGCCCAAAAATTGACGAGCGCCTGATTCCATCGCGTTGTGACAAATTTGATTCAGTCGGGGCCAGCAAGATTTTTCCTTGGTGGGTGGAACAAAATAAAGTTACAACCTGGGCACAATTCGATTGAATTCGACTAAATTCGTCTAGTGACCTTCAAATCCTAACGTGTTTGCTTTCAAGCCCGCGAGTAGAATTGGTTATTGTGCCGAAGTGGTAGTTTTTGCCTTTCCCTTTGCCTGTGGCCGAAGAAAGCCAAAGAGTAGCCAATATGGACGTGCAGATAGATAAGTGGGCCAGCATGAGAGTTCATATTGTAATGTGTAATTTATTACTATGTATTAAATGTTCTCCTCATGTATCTTGAACCCCCCCCCAGCCCGTACGGTACCACTGACTGAAGTGTCTTTAGGCCATTCCCAAAGGGGGGTCATTAACATCTCGAGTTCTTATGCACAGTAGAATTGTAATTGTAAGTAGGTTGATTCATCAATGCCATGCTCATAACTGTACCTGAACTGCAACAGGGAACTGCTGCTTTTTCTTTCCTAGTCTTTACTGTCGTCATTTTTCCTCTACTTTTTTTCATTTTTGTCACACTCTTGTGACCCGCTATTTCCGGGGTGCCTTGATAGTCGATGCAGACTTTGTGCTGTTGAAGCTAGAGGCTAGAGAGGTGAGCAGAGTGAGTCTGATTCCCTGTAAGGACTTCTCTGTAGACATCCACCCCTTGGCGCTCATATGACCTTATGTCGTTGCGAGCGCCGTGAAACCTCTACTAAAACTAACAGTGTCTTGATACGTCTTGAAAACACTACAAATGTTTCTGTTGACTTGGTAGAGAAAAAATGAGGCTGGCCCCGACTCAGTTCCATCGAATCCGAATGGCAGCGTGTGGAACTTATGTCGGGACAAACTGGTGTCTTTTTTTTTCGGGACCAAGCGCAAAAGTTCGTGAAGAAAAGGGATTCAACGGCTCAGTTCAAGAAGCCCTGTATGCCACATTTGTCTAAAAATCAACCTTTTTTTTTGGGGGGGGGGGGGGGGGGGGCTTTCCTGTGGCCGCAGATCTTTCTTCGTCACATATCTTTTTGCCCACCCCCTCACCTCCTTTGCCCACCTAGCCTTTTCGGACATGGGCGAAACATCTCGGAGGTCCCGTGTGCAAGTTGTGCATGTTAAAGATCCCTTGGTGGTCTAAAATTGATAGGAGTAGTCTTCGGCCACCACCCAGGCAAAATTCAAAATTTCCTACCAACTGAAAATGTTTTATGTGTCCCACGCGTTCATATGACGTTATGCAGTTGCGAGCGCCGTAAAATACTTACAAAAACAAAATCACATCTTTCTGATGTGAGGACCAAGCTGTGAAAAAGTCGATTTTTAGCGAAGATCGTACATAACAAGATAGTTCACTCAGGAAAAAAATGACCGTGTAAGTCCGCGTTTTGGGTCAGATGGCGCTGCAGTCTTTCTTTTGAAGCTCTCTTTCCTCTCTCCAGAAGAAGATTAGGAATTGCAGTTTGTTAGTTTCACTTTTATTGTTTTTCACACAAGTAGAGTAACTCTGATCGCAAAATCCGCACTTTTTCAAAGAGGTGGCCCCTGAATATTGGGGACACTTTTTTATTGGCGCAAACAAAAAATTGGACTATCTTGCTATACACGATCTTTGATTTTAGTTAATGTCATGGTATACTGTGGGGGTTTTTTAAATTATTTTTTTTTAAAAAACTGAACCGTCAAAAAGTAAACCTGCCCAGTCGAACAGATATGTGTGTCAACGGCACGTATTGTCTGGAAGCACGACTATCAGTTTCGTGCAAAGCTTTTAGACATGAGTGCCCTTCACAACAATCATCATCATCATCATCCGGTGCCTTGCCGACTGGCGTGGGCGATATTGGACCTCCAATTCACCCTGTCCTGCGCTGCAGCAATGGTGTCTGTTGTTCTTGCTGCTCCCAACCATGTTGTCGTCTTGTCCTGTATCTTTTCCCTCTATCTGCCTCTGCCTCTTTTTCCATCAGACTTTCCTGTTGTTACAATATTCTCTAATGCTTCTTTCCGCATTGTGTGTCCGAAGAAATTTGCCTGTCGTTTTCTTATACATGTATTCGTGATAAGTTGTTTTCTATAATTTGCTTCAACCAGGACTTCTTCATTTGTTTTTCTGGCTGTCCATGGGATACGTAGCATGCGTCTTATGAACCACAACTCTGTCGCTACAATTGTTCTTTCCAGCTGTTTATTGATTGTCCACGCTTCGCACCCGTATAATAGGAGGATTGGCTCAATGTAACTTTTCAGTACTCTTTTTCGTTTCCAGTGACAGATTGGTGTTTGTTAGTATCTGTTTCATCTTGTGGAAGGTTGCTTTTGCTTGGCAAATGCGGCTTTTAATTTCGGTGTGACATCTACCATCTGATTTCGATATAATGGTCCCCAAATATTTAAAATGTTGTACTTGCTTGAGGGTGGTATCGTTGATTTTGATATTGCATCTTGGGATAGGAGTTTTTCTGCTTATCACCATCGTTTCGGTTTTCTTGATGTTTAGGCTTAAGCCCATGTTGTCACTGTCTTGTACGATGACATTTAATAGATTCTGCAGGTGTTCTTCATCTTCTACTATTAGGACTGTGTCATCTTTTAAGCTAATTTGCCCCCTTATATTGTAGACCTAGCAGATATAGACTAAAAGGTTTAGCGGACTTGTTTGGGATCACGAACAAAAGAAAAAAGAAAAATAAATAGGGGTGTGATTTCTAACTAGTCAAAAACACAGAATACATGTATATTTGATCACATTTTGATATACTATAATGACATAAAGTAGAAGGTAACATGGAACCTGTCTAATGCACCCATTTTACCCTCTCTCCAAACGCCAGATTCCTGATGTAAAAAAAAAATACGACAGGTTAACTGAAAAGCTTTGTCTGAATTGATCATTATCTGATTTTTCCCCTAAAAAATTCAGGCGGTTTTTTTACGCCCCCATCGACTCATTTAGCAAGCAGGCTTCAGCCCTGCCTGTCGGGGCCACACCAGGGTGAGAGAGATGTAAGATCATTGCAGAAAGACAGAGATACTGTTATCTTCGCCTCTCATTTGACATAATTTATGTTGCAAGTTCAGTAAAACTCTTTGTGTGGGTGGTTGGCGGGTGCTCTGGTGTGGTTTGCTCCTTCTTTCCTATCAAATATCTATCATCCTGATCTCTCCTCCTTCTTCTTTATGTTTGTTGCTCTCTTGTAACACCTCTAATCTTCGACACTTATATGACCTTATTGTGTTGCAAGTGCTGTAAAACTCTTACTAAAACTAAACTCTTTGTGGCGTCGGTAACCTAGTGGTTGGGCTACCGGACTCGTAATCGTGAGGTTGTGGGCTCAGACTCGAAGTTGTGTCCTTGGGAAAGGCACTTTACGCGAATTTTCCTTACTTCACCCAGGTGGGAATGGGTACCTTGTCATAGATAGCAAAAGAGCTTGTTAATATGTTGTTAATGTTTTAGGGCTAATAAAAATGGCAGCTTGTACTATTATGCTTGCGGGAGTGGGTGGTTAGCGAGTGCTCTGGTGTGGTTTGCTTCTTCTTTCCTATAAAAAATCTGTCGTCCGTATCTCCCCTTCTTCTTTTTTATCTTTGTTACTCTCTTGTAACACTTCTAATCTTCTGGCGCGCATATGACCTTATGCTGTTGCGAGCGCCGTAAAACCTCTACTAAAACTTTTTAAATGCTCGCTGGAGGGGGGGGGGGGGGGTTGAGGGCGCCACTGGTAGGTCCTACTTTTTTTAAACTTTCCTTCTGTTGTGTCTGTCTGTCTGTTTTACTTTTTCCCTGCACTAAATGACGTTTATCGTGTTGGTGTGCTTCTCTCTACTCAAACAAACAAACGGTAAGCTTTCCAGGAAGTTGAGATTGTTTGCGAATGCTATCAGGTCTTTTGGGGTTAATAATATAGATTGTAAAGTGCACAGTGTTGAGCGGAAATTTGCACTTTGCACATGTTATTATTATTATTATTATTATTATTATTATTATTATTATTATTATTATTATTATTATTATTATTATTGTTATTATTATTATTATTAATTTTATTATTATTAAAACAAAATCTGAAGCTTTAGGAAGATTGATGAGAGACTGCGGAGTATTTGTTTACTTGACTTGATCAGATGACGTTTTTCTCCCCAGCCGACCTTTCCCTGGTGGACCCCAGTGCCGACTGTGTCTACTTCTGCGGCAACTCTCTGGGCCTGTGCCCGAAGAAAACCAAAGAGTACATGGACGTGCAAATAGATAAGTGGGCCAAAATGTGAGTTCACGTTCTCTTATGTATCCTCATCATCATCCGGTGTCTTGCCAACTGGCGTGGGCGATCATGGACCTCCACTTTCATCTGTCTTGCATTACAGCAATGGTGTCTGTTGTTTTTTTTTTTGCTGTTCCCAGCAATGTTGTCAACTCGTCCAGTATCTTTTCCTTCAGTCTGCCTCTGCTTCACTTTCCGTCAAACTTGCCTTTTGTTACAATATTCTCCAATGCTTTTTTCCGCATTGTGTATGCAATGAAATGTGCCTGTCGCTTTTGTATATTCGTCATAAGCTGTTGTCTGCAATTTGCTTCAACCAAGACTTCTTCATTTGTTTTTCTGGTTGTCCATGGGATACGCAGCATGCGTCTTATGAACCACAACTCAGAAACGTTTATTTGTTTGTTCTCCTCATGTACCTGGAAACATCTTGAAGACGCAACTCTTGAACATTTGAATCATCCTTCCATCCTCTCCTTCCACCCCTTCCCCTCCCTCTTCCACCCATTCCCCTCTCCCCCTTCTTCTACCCTTCCTCCTCTTTCGCCAGTCCCTCCTCCCCCTTCTCCTAATTGATCCTACCCCCATTCCCCCACCACCACCACCCCAACCGCTCCCTCATCTCTCCTCCCTGCGTCACTTTTTAAAGTTTGAAGGTGGAATCCTCCCCACCCCCGCACCAGTAATGCCCATTTCAATGGGTTTGTTGATGTGTTATTTGATAATATCTTTTTATTGCCATTATTGTTATTGTTGTTTGTATAGGTTGCATGAAGATTGACTAAAAACACATACCATCGTTTTGTTTGCCCCAAAAACAGCATGTTCTCACAAGTCAACTCCTGACCTATCACCTGCCCATGAGGATGTTTTTGTGTGTATGTGTGTGCGTATGCATGTGCGTATGTGTTTGTATGTTTGTGTGCGTGCGTGTGTGTGTGTGCATGCACGCTTGTGTGTGTGTGCGTGTCTGTGTCTGTCTGTGTTTGTCAGTCTCCCATCATGTCATTAGCCGGTTTGCTTGGCTTAAATCCTCCAGAACTATTGTTAAGCCTGCTTTAGCGACCGACCACCTGTCCAAGACAATCACCTGTACAAACGACCGCTTCCCAACGTTCCTTTTGCGTTTTTTATTTCTTAAAATCTCATGACGTGGTGGAATCAGGCTCTACTTCTTTTGTATATTTGTCGCACTCTTATGAGTCGCTATTTCCGGGGTGCCTTGATAGTCGAAGTAGACTTTGTGCTGTTGAAGAGAGGTGAGCAGAGTAAGCCTGATTCTTTGTGAGAACTTCTCTGTTGACACCCACCCCTAGGCGCTCATATGACCTTATGCAGTTGCAAGTACTGTAAAACCTCTACAAAAAAAAACCCCAAAACAAGACGTCCATATACCTGTCTGTGAGACAATCACTTTTCTTCTCGACAATGGGTGGCTGTCTTGGACAATTTCAGCTGTACTTCTATAGAAATAGAAATCATATTTCGTGTAGCGCGAACGTCAGCTTAATTTCAAGTTCTATGCACTTTATCATCCCTTTGCTCTTTCTGTTTGTTTGTTCATCAACTTTCTTTTTCTTTGCAATGAATGACCGTTATTGTATCGCTGTTTGGTGGGTGGTTGGCGGGTGCTCTGGTGTGGTATGCTTCTTCTTTCCTCTCAAACGTCTATCGTCCTGATCTCTCCTCCTTTTGTGTGTTTGTTACTCTCTTGTAACGCCTCTAATCTTCGGCACTTAAATGACCTTATTGTGTTGCAAGTGCCGTAAAACTCTTACTAAAATATTTTCAAAAAGAATAGTATTGCTGTTTGAATGACCATTATTGTGTCTCTGTGCTTATCTTTGCTAAAGAATATTGAAAAGTCAAGGAATGATTGTGGGTGGTTAGCGGGTGCTCTAGTGTGGTTTCCTCCTTTCTTATCGAACACCTGTTGCCCTCATCTCTCCTCCTTTAACTTGCATATTACTATCTAGTAAATCCTCTTATCTTCGGCACTTCATGACCTGATTTTTTTGTTGCAAGTTCCTCAAAAGTCCCACAAAAACTAAAATTGTACTTTTATATTTGTGTGTATGTGTGTGTGTGTGTGTGTGTGTGTGTGTGTGTGTGTGTGTGTGTGTGTGTGTGTGTGTGTGTGTGCGTGCGTGGTGAAATAGCAAACCAATGTGCCAGGATTTGAACAATAAAGATTTATCTTATCTTATCTTGTTTTGTCTTGTCTTCTGTTGTCTTATCTTATCTAAAAAAAGGAATGCGTCTTATCTTTAGGGGTGTACAGGGTCACACCAATGGAGAGCTCCCCTGGGCCTGGTGTGATGAATGTCTGGAGGAAGACATGACCAAAATTGTCGGTACGTTTGTTGTGAATTATTTTCATGT